GATGATTCCTCAGATTTGCTCAGCAACTCGAGAGTTCTTTTCAAAATCGACTTTGGGAGGTCATCCACTTTCAGAAAAGTGTATATGTCATTGAGCGATGGCGATGTCAAGGTTACCATCTCCAAAGTAACGCTCTTCTAAGATTTGCCCAGTAATACGGTCGTTTCTCCACACCATCGGATTCCCTAAATTCTCCAGTTTCAGAATGATCTACATGTTGTTGAGGTGTTTCAATATTGAGGTGTTTCAATGTTGAGGTGTTTCAATTTTGAGGTGTTTCAATGTTGAGGTGTTTCAATGTTGAGGTGTTTCAATGTTGAGGTGTTTCAATGTTGAGGTGTTTCAATGTTGAGGTGTTTCAATGTTGAGGTGTTTCAGTGTTGAAGTGTTTCAATGTTGAGGTGTTTCAATGTTGAGGTGTTTCAATGTTGAGGAGTTTTAATGTTGAGGTGTTTTAATGTTGAGGTGTTTCAGATTTCATCTACAGCGTCTTATTATTAACTGTTAATTTATTGGAACATATCTTTGGTTTAAAAGAGCTTGTTTTGCTAACAAAAGATATGACTCCATATTCTGATCACAATGAGTTCACCAAAAAGCGGCATTATATATACAATGCTGAGGCAGTCTAGGCCTCAGATCTTATCGGTAGCCTCAGAATCACAATTATTGTCACGGAGGATCAACCATAGATTTCAAAAAGTGTACACGCTGTTGATGAAAAATTTCTCGTTCCGAAATATGATCACAAAAACTGGTCACAACTGTTGTTCATAATCAATATTTGATCACAATCAACTGAAAAAAAATTGATTAGCACATACGCATACCCTGAAAGTTAATCTTCTCTTTGAGAAAGTCATAAGCGATCATTATCGAAACGTTCTGCACACAGAAACACGAAATTTTATCCTAAACTGAAATAATTTTATTCGACAGTCACTTCTAAAATTCAAATGAGAAGTGTAATGGGTTTATAGTTAGGATATAAGATGGTTTATCACACAGTTTTGTTAAGGCATTTCACTGATGATTATAAACACGTAATTCATTAACAAAGAGCAAACGAAACAAAATTGCACCGACCACACATTAAAACATATAACACATAAAACAGAGTAACACCATGCCAGAATCAAACTATATATGTGCATTCATTTCCAAAACTTTTGCACCCACCTTGTCCATCAGTTAAAACAATCACAAATGACGAAGTACTTACCTCAAAACTTTTTCGTACACACATAAAAAGCTATTTGATCCAATGTCCTCAGCACAACTTCAGTAAAGTAAGTTGAATTTGAAATGTTCAGGTAATAAAACATTGATGAAGACGTATAATTACTCGACGAAAGTGACAGACAATTGTTAGACTGCGATGATATGAGAGTGATATTTTAGAGATTTGAAAAGACCGACCGGACAACCTCCCAAAACATTGAAAGACGGTAATATCAAACTAGAAGGCATTCTATGGAAAACTGACGATAATATCAAATTGGAAGGCAGGCTATGGTGAACTAACAGAGAAATCTGGACAGTGGATTGCGGTCGGCGCTAAAGTAGCTTAAGGCCCGGCCAATCAAGACAGTCGGGGTTATAAAGCTGATAACAAAGGTAATAATAGCATAACGTTAAGCGCGAATGTGACATAAAATAATAATATAAACTTTGGAACAACTGTTTTGATCATTGTTCATTTAAGGCACAAACACACTCGGCAATATTTATGAACAACAAAGATTATTGACATGGATCTGATTAAGATCACGTCCAAAATTTATTGGCGTAATGCACTTCACGGGAATTTCCATTTGAAGGTCGGTAATTACAATAACAACTCGAAATGGACATAAATGATGAAGAATAAATCTGTCGATCACAGTCATCTCTTACATTCACGAAAAAACAACGAGACTGTTCGTGGAAAAATCACATTGTTAATGTAATTGATGCGGAATCATTAAATTAGCAATAATAAATATGATGAGCCATTAGAAGCATGCAAGATCAGCCATTAATACGATCAACTTGAGGATGTTACCGAAATGAATTACACTGCGTAATCAAGAAATCTGTAGCGATCAATTAAGTGCTTTTTCAACCAAAATTATTATTTACAGTCTATTATCATTAGCAAACATATCGGTTAGAGTGTAATTGTTAACGCAACATTTATCGGTGAACTGTTGCAATTGTAGCGATGAATACTGTTACTACTACTACTGCTATCATTGTCGTAGATGTGAGGAAAGGTTGCGGCGATGCACTGGCGGTACGCATCGGCTTGGAATTATTTACAGAGTTTTTATAAGATGATTGCATTCCTGTTTACTTTGACCAGAATTATTGGCACGAATAGCAATGACATCGCCACCTTTTCGGGTGGCAAATAATTCCATTAAACATTTGAACTTATGGCAGCAGTAGGACGATCGTTCCATCCAATAAATTCATTGCTTTTATGTACTGAAATTGAATGGGTATAAATTAAAAGGTTAGATAACATTTCATCACGTATGACTGCATCAAGAAATCTTCAGAATGAAATAAAACAACTTCCACTGATGAGGTAAATGATTGTCTATTCAGAGAATAGATAAATATCATAGAAAATACATTTTCTGGTATTGTAGAAACATTACAAAAAAAAACACGAATATAGAGCAGTTATTCTCACACTCTTACACTCCCCTAGCCACCCTTTCGCCTTACGGCGAACTGTTGGATTGCTGGTTCCCCAAAAATCTGCTTGGATGCGTTTCTCCTTCCGCCCTCACAGTTCGCCAAATTAAAAAAAAATCGGTAAATTGATCTACTAATAAAGAAATCTGCCGCCAATAATTCGTCAAAAGCATCAAAAGAATCGCTTTGTTTTGATCAAACAAGCATTCTTGAACCATGGAAAAATGATGAAAAAATCGATCAACGTCGATTTGCCGACCTCCTCAGTGCCATTCTCAGATCCCTCTAATAGGCAAATCGTGCCAATAAAAAGCAGTGGTACAGGAGATGGAAATTAATGAAAGAACCTGTATGAATGCTTGGTGTGTGTTTTCGATTGATGCGTCTCTCATAAAACAGCAGATATGCATCACTGCATTTCGCAATATCATTTGGATTCACAATACGCACAAAACAATCATCATAAGCTCTCCACTTCGAATCAACAGCATTTCGTGTACTTGCCGTATAATGGCCTGCGTTTATCGTGCCTCCAATATGATGAACAACAGCAAACAAATCATACAAGCAATCATCGCTTGAATAACATTCATCTCTAGAAATTTACGTAACTTGACCAAATTGCAGTTTCATGAACACAACCATTCAGTACACTACGGGAGGCCCTTACTCATAATTTGCTTCCTAGCAATCTATTTTGAGAATTTTGAATTTCACTCATTCAATTAGCGAAGCTTCAAGTTTGAAAATACACTATTTTCAAACCGGAAAAAACCAGTAGCATCTTGTAGATGAGAAAAATCAATGCGATCTTGGAAGTGCTAAGACCGTCACATGTAGGTGTGCACAACAGTGCGCTATTCCGCTACTAGTGAAATGGCGTTAACGCGCTACTGTTTTCAATTTCTAGCGATAGCTTCCGCTATTGCTACATTATTTTTTTCATGAAAAGTTAGATAAATATTCATACCTTAAACTTCCACTGTCCCAACAGCTACTTGAATTTGATAAATGCATTTCACCATCCGAATATTGCATATTATAGCGGTCAGTTTTGAATGGTTTCTTAAATAAAAGCGATTTAACTGAAAGTAAATAAAGACACGAATGAATCTGTAAACAAACAATGCAATCAAACAAAGATCAAAATAGAAGATGCAAATAAACAAACACTATGAAGATCATTTGAAGAAGAATGCACATAAGGTGACATATCGAGTCCTTCAGTTGGAAAGTGTATCGCTCGATCTAGCTTCAGCATCCTACCATCACCCATCTTAATTCAGTTACAGTTTCAATCGTCTAAAGCATTATTTTGAGTCTGTTGCTCTATGTTCAGCGAATACACTCACCATCCTCTTCCCATCTAACAATATGCAATACTCACTATTTAAGGTCTGAAGAAGGTTTAGACGACCGAAAACGGTGACAATGATCTATGGGAATCAGGAAATGACAACTATCACAGATAACGGCAACTGCCGCTTGCTGAGAAACATTCCGCGCAAGATTTTTGCCAAAAATATTACAAGCACCCGAACGATAATAAATACTCATTAGCATGTAATAGCCCACAAATTTCAAACTCGCCCTTCCTTTTTTCGTCAAAATCACCAACTCGCATGACGTTTTCGTTCACCATTGGAAAAAATCGCCCGGGTTGAAAACCGTTGATTTCAGGGTAAAATTCACTTAAAAGTTAACGGATTATGTACGCTTAATACGGCAACAAAGACTACCCGTCGAAATCTTTTCAAATGAAACACAAGAACACGTGGCAATGAACGGAATTTCATTTTCTTTTCTCCTTTATTCCAACCACAGTTTTCACACTTCCATTCAATCAACTCTGGGCGTGTGAATTCCTGAAAATTGTCAAACTGAATTAAGAGATGTAAGGAATGATGCTTATCAAGATGGTGAATAATAAGCAATTCATTCTTGACAATTTAAAGTGCGATGCGATTATTCCGAGAATAGAATTCTTATTCGATGGCTATAGTACCATTTTATAAATACATCAATGTCGGTATACGACTAATAGCTCAAAATCACATAACACTTACATCCAAGCACTTAGTTAATGTCAGCGCTGTTGACTGACTAGTTTCTTTTAGACTATCACTTGAAGAATCCACTAAAACACGTTCAGGTTCAGAGACCATGAAACTGAAAATATTCAGTTTGTTTCATTGATTAGAGAAAGCAGTGAACAAAAAAGATACGCTCAGCCAATAGAAAAAGAATTTTAACTCATTGGTTGATTGCTTTATAAGGCTACTCAACGAACCTTGCCGTCAATAATGCAATCTTTTATGATTTGATATCCTAGAACTGAACCATAAAATTTTCATTCAACTATTCATAAGCATACTTCGTTATAAATTGATCCGTAACTTCAAAGCGTAACTGAACAACAGCAATATCGGTCAAGTTTTGATTCATTGTTATGGCACTGAAAAAATTAGAAAAATATATCTGAAATAAACACGGTATTGTTCCTTCATTGTCTTATTTTGAACGATGGGAGTCTGAACAAAGTTTGGCTTTTTATTAGTGGATGATAGGCTGTTCAATGATACAAATGAATAATACTACTTAATGCCTAAATGATTGCGACCGATGAAAATGAATGATGCACTTACGCGCTGAGGCTTCTGTCTTCTACAGTCTTTCGAGAGAAAGACCTCTTTTCAGTTAAGGAAGCGTGCTTATGTTTAAGAAATGTATGGTGAATGAATAAATACAATGAAAACAAAGGATCAAATACATCAAACTTATTCACCGTTCAACACATTCAGTATATAGAGGCATCATAACCAAATGATCAAGTTCTTCACAATATTCATTATTGCAAACTACATAAATTCCACAATCCTCTAACTTCGTTACTGCCATTCGAATTTTCTCAAACGAACAACTGGGCAATACAAATCGCATTGAATTGATCAATTCTGCACATATAACACCGAATGATGAGTCTCGGCGTAAAACACATGCGAATGGTTGTGGGAAACTAAATAAGCAAAAGATGAGTTAGTTAAGTAAAATTTTTTACAGCTGTAGTAATTCCCTTTCACGATTCCGTTCACGACTCACGCATCAACTGATTTTAAAAGAGAGCGGACAGGTTTGGGAGTGCTAACGGTGATGAAACAAAAAGATATTACGGATGGTAACGTAGAGGAATCGCTAAAAATAAACGTCTTTCCAGCATATTGAGGAACATTTTATGTTCTTCAATCGCGTTTTTTAAATTGAATAATCGCACGTTCACACCATCATAAAATATTCTTCCATTCGGTTTCAACTATTACAAGAATCGCATAATAAAGAATGAATAATGCGGGCAAAATGTAATACCGTTGCTCTTGCTTTCGATCAAGACGCGAATGAACTTCGATTATCGAAAATATGACATTAACGAATTCGGTCGAAACTGGATCGGAAGATGACGGATAAAATTCGGGCATTTCAACTGCACTTAATTTGTCGGAATGCAAACTTTCTATTGATGCCTCATTTGACATTAATTTACAATAACCAGATTCATCCAATTCACAAATGATAAGCTGAAAATTCGATAAATTTTATCCTTTAGATATTATGCCTTAGTTTCCATACCTTTTGCATTACGTGTGAAATTTTAAGAGAAATTATGGTTAAAACAAAATACGTTCGTGAACAAAACCTTAGGATTTTGTGCCGCACAAGTACGTGTTTTTTTCCTCAAAGATCAAGACATCGAGAACACTTGATCTTTCGTTAAGAAAACTTTTGTGGATGAAAGTTAAGAATCCGATGCTTGAAGTTTTTCTTTAAATATATCAAAACGAATCTCATCGTTCAACAAGTGAATTGTAAAAAGATCGACATTTAGCGAGGCAAGATACCAACTGAATCGTAACCAACCCTTTCTGTAGGTATTCTAACAGTCTCACTGATACATTTATAAATCCAACGGAAGCGCCTATTAGAATTCACAGTAATTCCGTATCGCTTCAAACGTATCGCTTGTTTGTTTAATTCATGCACATGCACAACAGTTACATGGACAGCTTTTTCACGCCTTCAAGTGTTTTTTTTTTGAAAAATTGGAAATTAATGACGATAGATCATTTTAAAGTTGCCATTTACCTATATAACAATACAATCAACACAGCATGTTGCGCGGTTAAATGCGATTGGCAAACTGGAGAACAATTTAGCAAAAAAAAATCTTGATGAAACACCAAAAAAGTCAAAATTAGAATTTCCGACCAAAAAATTTTTTTGAATGGTAAGGGGGACCGATTTGACGCAAAAATGTTCAGTATTATAACTAAATCGACCAAAGATGTAGTTCTCAGCAACACACTTATGACATATATACTTCAATAAGCTATTTTCTGTTATCGCGAAGAGATGAATTCACTGATAACAAATGGAAGAAAATAGGATATGAATATGAAGAGATTCGTTGAAAAATGATAAACACTTTAAAGAAATACATAAGATGACGTACTCTTGCGGGATCTGCAGAGAAACACACATATACGGGTCGAATATGAGTGCCTCCGTATGACATCGTGGACAGTAAATGCTCGAGCGGAACTGCGCACTGAACAGTCTAATAATGATGGAACAATGTGCTTGAAGATGATTGCTACGACTGCTTTCGGCTTTATCTTTTTCAGATCCATACACCTTAAATTCCACTGATACCAACTGAACTGAATCTAGTGCAGAAGAAAACGTTCCTTGACAATTGGATAAAAATTTTGTGAAATTCAAAAATAAATTTTAATCAATCAATCGAATTTAATTTTGTAACATTCAAAATTACTTTCTAAAACAATGCACCGTTATTTGAATTTTTCAAAATTCTATTTCATACAGGATTACTCAACAAAAAAAAANAAAAAAAAACACAGACATTATCCAAACATTCTCACCGTAATATCTTTATAAAGGCGTTTGATTGCAGTATTGAGATCCTCATGTATTTTATCCAATAACCACATTAAAAACTCTTGTGCATCCTTCAAAACACAGACTTATCAAATGGAAAACGAAATCTGCATAACTGATTGCACGTTGACTGGCAAAATTAGACATGATGAGAAGGTTATTTTCAGGGGCAGTTTTATCTGAGAGGGAGTGAGGTTTCTTGTATTGCCATGTGCAGTTTTTCTGGCCAATAATTGGAAAGGCCAACAAACGTGAACTTCACTGCTTGCAAGAGTTGATTTTTTATTCTGATGCTTGCTAAGCAATATGTTGCTTAGCAAGCATCAATACGTTTTCAAATATGCGAAATCCGATCCGGTTATCAAATTTTCTTTGTCACATACCAAGCGATTTTCGGCGAAGAACAACTGAACAGGCGAGGCACCTAATGAAGTTTGCAAACTATTTCTTCCAGACGATTGAACAGTCTCACCCACTTTTAAATGTGTATTGCATCAAATAATTTAAAGAATGGTAGATGAAATCAAGAAAGCTCAATAACCAAAGACATAGTAGACGAAAGGCTTAGAGTGCAAACATGACTGGTTGGTTCGTGATACCATTTTGGATATCATCGAACGGCATGGCGATGGTGTGAAACGGAACTCCTTTTCGGATTCTGCATATCTAACTATACATAACTAACATATTGTTCAGTCCGTATGTAGATGAGAAATCTTCATACGGGCTGAAATTTAGGCAGTGAAATTTATGGGTTTTGATCATTATCGGGACTTTGACAGCTACGTGCAAAATACCATATGATGGAAGCAATGGGAAGAAATTCATATCTGGTTTCGCTTAGAAAGACTGCATGAAATTCTCGTCTTTGCGTAATTCTTTTATTGTGCTGTGTTAACTTGCAAAATTGTAGAGCGCATCAAAACAACACACATCAATAAAAATCGACTAAACATGTTCAACTGAAATTTAAAGCAGTGCTGGAATGGGTCTGAAAAAACTATAGGAAATTGTTGGGAGCCTGAAGCAGACCCCAAGGATCTAAATAAGATCAATATTTTGGCTTAAATATTAATTGCTGGGAGTAATAGTAAAAAGCAGTATTTGCTCGAAATGATGCCATCTAGATGGAGCGCTGACTAGAGATTACCATTGTTTCTTCAAAATAAACCCATTTGCTCAATTGAGCAATGGCCATATGCAGTGGTAAACCTAATAAATAAGTGATATACCTCAAATGAGGATGCCAATTAAAAAAGTGAACATACGAAATTTATTCAGAAATGACGAATATAACAAAAGAAAAAAGGAATAACCTGCTGTTTAAATGTTCCATATTCATTGTTGAATCGACACACAACTTCATGAAAATGGCGAACAGTTCGTTCATCGATATCATTCGACCATAACGATTTGATTGTATCTGCGAATACTTCCGTCAGTGCACCACCCGTTCCATAATGCTCACTATTTTCAAGCTGTGCACGAGTTTTACTCTGTAATATTTTCCTCTCATTCGTGCAATCAACACATTCTACTTGCTAATTGTTTGTCAATGGGGAATTATCTGAGTTAGAGTCGATTATGTTCACTTTTTTAAGCACGTACTAATTTAAAATAGCTGTATATTGTAAGTTTCATCTCAAAGTGAATCCAGGTAATAAGAACCAAAACAAACGTACACGAAGATTATTCAAAAATTCATTTGATAAAAAATAATGTGATAACTGGGAGCATGCAGATAGACACTGAAGAACCGAATTCATGTAGCACGTGTTACCCAAGTTCGAAATACCTGAAAATGATTGCGACTAAGGACAATATAACATTACACATATAATACCAATCGCAATAATAATAACAATTAATAATAATAATGATAATAATAATAATAATAATAATAATAACAATAACAATAATAAGCATATTTTAAATTAGTTGTATTCAACAACTGAACAAAATATAGAGCTAAAAAGTAATATAAACCTTTTAAGCAGGGTGTCAATGCTTTAAATGAATTTCTGGTAATTCGGCTACCTTCATCAACATTATTAAAATCATTTACCGACGAATCACCAAACGTTCCATTTTCTGATATGTTATTGTTTGTTAATTGGTTCCAATCATGAGATACTAATTTATCATGTTTGCTCGAACGCTTGGCTAGCGACATACACGATGCACTCTTCTCTCTCGAGTAAATCATCCTATTGCTGTTCAGTCGCATATTCTAAATGAACCATTAAATGATACAATCTAAATGAATGCAGTGCTAATCTTATAGTTAACGTATCTAGAAAAGGGAGGTGGGCTACACAAAACCTTAAACTGGGATGAAGCCCTGTTTTTGACTGAAGCTTACCACGGGGCTTCATCTCGGGTTTACCTTGAAGTTTGAGCCGCAGATCTGAGGCTCATCCAAGGGTCACGTAGAGGCTTGTGGCTCTATCTCCTTTCATTAACATGTTAACTAAAAAATTACCGAAACAACTGTTTTTAATGACAAAATTTTTCGTTTAGTAACAAAATCATATAGCTGACAAATGCAAACTATGTGCACGAGCAAAAACTGGTTGAATGCTGTCAACCAGTGTTAGAGGTGGGAGTGGAAGTACAGTTCCTTGAGCGAAATGCTTTCAACGGAGGAGCTTCACTGTTCTCGAGGAACTCTCGCCACTCCAAGGAGAGTACCGCAAGGAGTTCGTTCTGTCCCCAAACCTACCACTGCAAACCCCTAATGCGAAATACTCTAGGAGATAATATCTGCCAACCAAACAGACACCAACATTAGAGAAATGAATATGTAAGCATTCATAAAGTGATGATATAAAATTAATAATCAGTAATTCAAAGGATACATTAATAGTATCATCTTGATGTTCAGCCGTTGAAATAGCAGCTGAAAATGAGAGTTGTCGCTTCAGCGAAGTAACTCGTGAAGGTTCGTGATTATAATCCGATGTTGAAGCACCCATCTGAAGTATCGTTTAGAAATGCATTCATTGCTATTTGACGGCTACATAAATGTTGATGAATACGAATAGAATTAATGAATTGAGCATGACTTTCAAACGATACTGTAACAATGATGACCAAAAGTTAATTATTACAACTGTATCAAAGCAGATCAAGTGAATTAACAAACCGATTGAAGTGAACGTACGGATGAATTACGGCGATTTTTATAATAACTCTTCTGGTTCGTTTTATTCGATGCGTATGCATAATCTTGAACTGGCCGCTGACATGTTCTTAATGAAGGAACATGACTAGTGCCATCTGAGATGACCCTGCGAGAATTATTTACCTAGAATACAAATATAATAAGCAAACGCTGTTTATCTCTTGACGCAATCAACTAACTGCACTTTCGCGAATTCTTCAACGCGAATCACAACCATCGATAGAAATTACCAAACATGAAATTAGGATTGACGAAAACAAAAATATCGAAAAACTTAGATAATGTAAATCATTTATGCGAAAAGAGAGGATGTGACTGAATTAAAGTGCTCCGGAAAACGTGACTGAATACTACGCGGATAGACTCGTCAATAACAAAACGAAGTGAGTTTGAGATTTTAAAAATAAATAATACAATCAACTAACCATTGTATTAGACAAGTAATGCGCTCGATCGTTGCTCGATTGGATATTGTTCCTCTTTTTGCGATCAGTATTAGCCTATGCTTCGTTACTATTATTATTATGAATACATGAACAGGCAGCAGAAAAACAAACGTTAGGAACTGATATTGAACGACTGAACAAAAACTTCGCAAAGATCTCAAACCGAATAAATGACAAACAAAATATTTCCGCGAAATAAAAACCGAATTGATGAAAACCATACATACATTTAATCCGAAATACTTTCGCAGAAATTGCCCAATAGATTTGATCTTTGACGTTTGGCGGTGGTCATTCCTTTCTGATTTCGTCAACAAATTCGTTTCATTTCCGAATCGCGACGAGTTGCTGCCAACAGGTAACCTGGAGATCATTCTATAATCAGCCTTCTTTAATGATCCAAAATTTAACTGCAATTCTCATTTATTTTTGGCGAGAAGAAATATTTCTGATGATTGATTATGATTATGTTATTGATTATCTGATTATTATTATTACCTGGGTTCAGAATTGGTGCTTAAATCACGACTATTATATCGAGTAAGATCAGAGCGTTTCGAACGATTATTTATATCATTATGGTCGTCAATCCCCCGCGGCCGATGTCGTCCGTTTGCGTTGTAATCTCAAACTGAAGTCATTTATCAACGTTGCATCAATAGTGCCTTCCCCTCCACTTCATTCTCATCTTCCGCTTATCAAAACTCTCTCAATACAAATTCAACAAACCCCCAATTTCGGCTCATCCACGACTGCTAGATTGTGACAAAACTTTAATCGCTATTCATCACATTTTTACAACAATGTGATATTCGTTTAAGTGAATGCACTTCACTTTGACATCGGAAACATCATTCCAAAACATTTATCAGTGATGGACCATGAATCATCACCTCATCCATCACTAACCGTGAAACAGCTGAAACGTAGATAATAAATCGAATTAATGAATTAAAATTATGGGATGTACTACCGTTAGATGATGGATAATTATTTGCTGAAAAGTAGTCATTGTGTGCTTGTTGATGGTATTGTTGTTTGCAAGGAGAATTTACCGGTCGCGAGGAATGAGTGGCGCTTTTCAGAGTTCTATCCGTATCAGAAGCATCACTGAATCTAAAGAAAGTGAAACATTGGTAATTTTCAACGATTCACTACAGTGGTGCGCTATGACATATCGTATGAAGAAAAATCTTGAAAATAAAAGCAACATAACTTTGATGCGATGAAGTTGCAATCTTTTTAATGGGTTGCTTTGGATAAAAACTCTGTTTCACGGTTGGAACGTTATCATAACGATTCCAGCAATTGACTGTTTTATCAATTTCCTCAGTTCCATAGTTGTCCCTATTCATATTCTTTTCACGCATCTTAATTAGTTCAACTGATTATTTCAATTCCATCGATACGCACGCAGTCTCGTTTCGTTTCGAAACAGATAATAAAACTGAACGTTGGTTCAAGTCTAACAGGTAAGAATCAGTAAATGACTAAATGATATGGTAGAACGCAGAGGTGGGCAATAGCGCGCTATTCCGCTATTGCTCTAACTAGGGAAATAGCGGAATAGCTACTCCGCCACTAATGATATAGTTACTCCACTATTTCACTAACTAGCGAAATAGCGGAATAGCGCACTATTGCCCACCTTTGGTAGAATGTATACAAAAGCAGAGTGAATCGGTTCAAACGGTGATGAACAGTAAATTACTGAATATACAATTAAGTGAATTGATATTGAAGATAAAATTACTTTAAAAATATTACAGAATGGTGCAAAAATGTTTCAGTTTGACTAAATAAATAATGACTGTTGCTGAAATGAATGAACAAATTGATTACAAGAAAATAACGGTAACAATAGGAGGAAGAGTTATGAACGCTGTCAACAACAATAAGTTGGAGAGAGAAGTAACCAAAAACGATCCACAATACGCTAACCATTACCATTCTTGCGGAGCTATAAAGAACTCAGTGTTTCACTACAATTACTGGCGTCTATTGATGATTGTTTGCGTGACTAATTCCGTAACGTATGCGGATGAATCTAGCATGTAAACATTGTATTCAAATGCAACAGTATGGAATGTATGTGGAGTCACCACCGCAATGTTGAAAGGCAAGGCGATAACCATTTTGAAAAAGAAAATGCATATTTACGACACGAGAATATTGATGTTTAGAATTCATCAACTGATAAGGAAATAGTGAAGAAGAGAAAAATGATACGAAGAGCTGAGTGCTAATGTTTTGTAAGTTGGGTATTGATGACTTGTGATGTTTTCTCTGTTGAAATAAATACAATTTACCATTACATATGATTCTTCTTGATTGACTGAGCAGTGCTTCTCAATGAAGTAAACAAAGGTTTGTTCGGACCTAGTCAACCTCATTTTTTTCTCCAAACGAACTTATTCGATCACAAATTCTCAACCGTCCACAAGAAAGATATCTGACTTCATGCAATCCATGTTCAGGTTCTTTAAAATGAAGAAATTTTGCTTTTACCAGTGTGTTCAATAGCTAGCTACCGAGATGTCTCATGAATGATCCAGGATTGCCTTTCATCACACGGAGATCCAACTCGCACGATAAAGGATTTCCAATGAGGAAGAAGGGTATTTCCAAGTATCCCATCACAAATGCTTTCACGGGTGAAATCCCCTAATCTGTGCCAGTACGGGCATTATTACTCCATATACAGATTAAAGTGTAATTGTGGGACACGTTTTAAATGTAAATATTGCGGAGCATAAAATGACAATAAATGATCTACCAACGTGATCATGAAACAGTTCTACATAGTGATGGGCACGCTATTGAAAAAATATAGTTCCGCTAATCGCTAATTCGGTGGAAAAACTTTTTTGGTTAACTAAAAATGATGTGAGCAAGGTGCCCTCGTTCCCCGACTTTTTCACCTATGTTTTAACATATGTTTTAATTTATAACATATTTGTTGGCCGAATCTCGCGTCGGCAAACCACAGAGAAATAGTTCCGAGTTGCTGAGATGAAAGGCGATTCGATTTACAACACATGGTTCAAGCTTTTGTCAATCTTTCGAGACAGAACTGTTTATATCATCTTGCGGAACACGTTCAACTCATTTCGAAGCTGTTCCCTGATTTTGCAACATCACTTTGGACTATGAATTCTGAATGATGGAAGAAAATCAAACAATGAGTGAAAACACCCTTGCATATACACCTTCCTGTTATAATTTTCGGATATGCCTAGTTTTGTTTTATGTAATTACTCTCGGGTTTGAATAGAATAATCTTGGAACATAATCGGAAATATGTAATTCGTTCACAATTCAGTTTCGCAAAACCAATGAAACACTGTATTGTAGAGGTATTACCTCTAGAACATCGACAGCCGTTCAGCACAATTGAATCACTCAAAATTGTGTGGACATACTGCATGTAGGTATATTAGTTCAGAATATAGCATCCTCCGTTCATCACTCGTATTAGAGCCCTGCAGACTCGGGAAGTAGATTTGGATTCAACTAAATTAATATAGGAATATCAAAACTTCCATATTCAAGCTATAATGACAAATCACAAAATATCGACCCCACCAGAGTTTAACCACAATTCAAGTGAGTAATGAATAAATAAACCACAAGGCTCAGCAAACAAGAAACTTGCACAAAAAATCCAACGATTCAAGCGAAATAAGACAATAATCACAGAAGTTTTAATTTGCTTCACCCGTACTGTACGAGACAATCCATACAATAAATGAAATCATTAACCACATTGTGGATCGCACATTTATATGCAATTAATCAGTGGGATTACACCGGAAAACAGCAACAACCAGACATGGGACGAAGAACAAAAGAAGTGAAAACGTTTAGTTTAGGCTATCGATTTCGGGCAAGAAGACATTTTATTTAGTGAAGGGAACAGTAATGAAAAAGGAAACAATAGATTAGCACACAACAATCCATCGTACATACATAAAATTAAAAATTTTGTACAGTAAGAAACGGTTAAGAAGTGCAAGAGGACACGTAATTCTCTACATGATATTACCATATACACAAATACATTATTGAAAAACAAGAGTATCGCATTAATCTTGTTTTAAAATTCAAGTTTTGATGCATAACCCAGTTTGTCATTTCGGTCCAACTTCAGCTACACGATTAACCAACAGCAAAGATGCTTTAAATTTCGACTCTTACAATAAACAGAAAACAAAAAGGCACTAATAAGAAGCAAATGCGGTCATCAATAACTATTGCGATTGTGTTGAATTGCTTAAAAATTGACACTCAAAATCGCTCACAATGGAACTTTATTCCATTACCAAAAACTAGTCGTTTATCATGAAGATTTACCACATTCGAAGTATTTTCAATTCATAGACTTCAGTTCTGGACAGAAATATGCAGAGCACCTTAATTAAACGAATTAACTTTTAGAATTGTTTAATAAATGAATTGAATAACAATTCATTTGTTCATTGTCTACATATAAAACACGTTCAGCAAGCCTGAAGCACTGATTTTCAATGCATTCATGCCACCAATGAACGATATTTCTGACTCATTTTGCGAGTTATTTAAGAAAATTTAGGAAAGAAATGAACAACCTATTCAAATGAAACGAAACAGAAACAGTGAAATTTGGAGATATGGACGAAGAAGTCGCCAGAAAATTCACCACAATTTCATATTATTTCCTGACTACTTTAAACATTGAAATCAAATGGCTTATTTAGACAGGAGAGATCATGAGCCACAGTCAAGTGTAACTCATTAAAAAATGTACAACGGTAACTGCTGGCAATCTGATATTTCTATCGTGCAATATTTCCAGTTGACGTGCTACAGGAAATCGTAACACAGAGATAAAAGATGAACGAGTGAATGAGAATGATATGGTCTCAAAAAGACGTTTAAGAATGGTATTACAATAAAGCAGTGATATGTGATTAAAGCTAAACAACATCGTAGTCTTCAACAACTGAAAGCGTTCTTTTACTGTGATCATAAAGCTGTTTCGCACGAGCCACTTTTTCACATAGACGTTTCGCTATATCGATGTGATTACACCATAAATGCGGTAATCGATGTCGAACACTATTTGACATTTCAAGAATTATCTCTGAAAATTTATTCAGTCACTTCTTACAATGATCCGTAATTCTCTATTGATATCGTGAACACCGTTTTTACAACAATTTTGTTAATTCTTTCATGATTTCTTACCTGATTCGCAAATACACTAAGTATACTTCTGCAAAGAATACGGCCGTTCAATGACTTTTATTTTGATTCACAAATCACCTGCACACTTTCGATTCGCATTACCTTTTACTTGCTTCGAAAAATATTCACATTTTCTCGGCTACTTGAAGTTGTAGCGATTTTGTTGATCATTAACAACTGCCAAAAAACATTTTTGGAATAACAAAAGATGACCATTGAATGCAGAAATTTTCAAACCAATTGATGCAAAAGTGGCGTTATGTTCACTGACGGCGACCGGTTGCATGATTTTAAGATGCTTATACGGTATTCGTTGAACCACATTGCTAGGCTCATCATCTTTTTGTTTGATTACATAGCACTGTTCAGAGCATATCAACACATATTGTCGGATATGGCCTTCACTTGTATAGCGATCCGATACCACTTCAACATCTAATAAACTGCAATATCACTGTCATAATCAACACTCACTTATGTGAATTAGAAGGAATAAGCAACACATTCACTGATCAAATATCTCAGATAAGGCAATTTAAAAACCTCTGGAAGTTAGAATCGGAATGAAGTGATAAAGAAAAAATATCCGCTAACTTACACTTCACCAGTAGAAAAACCATTAATACGCACTAAATCCATTTGTGCGACAGCCAGTTCGGATGAATAACATGGTAGAAGTGATTGCAAATTAGTGCAGACTCGTGATAAACGAATTCTCTTATCAGCAAAATGTGATTTTCGTGCTGAAATATAAACAAATTGATTCAAAGAAGTTTTTGGCCGCTTTTCATCAGAAATATCTAATCAAATCTTGACTCAATCACTGCTCATCGAAAGAATTTAACCTTTCGAGAAAGACACTCACTTCTTAAGTAGCTTCAGGTTGCCTAACACTGCTCTCAGATAAGTCTTGAAACTTGAAAATGATGTATTGTTTGACATACACCTATTCGAATGGCTTGCAAAATAAAGAAACGTTCGTTAATGACCAACCCGCCGAACCACCAACGATTTCTTTGACAGCCGATGCAGTGCCCTCAACTAAATCGAATATACCTTGTACAGGTTTCGTGACAGTATCCACGGCACCAGTTGTGAAACCTCGAAGAGCACCCTTAAAGCAAAACGAACACATTTGAACTGCAAGCACTAATTAATTTTCTGAAACAAGCGAATGAAAATTTCACCGAAGTAGATTTTCTGACAAACGATCGTTTTGCAAGATCAGTGAATGAATGAACGATAACAAACTTACAGTTATACCATCGCGTTTACTTTCTGTATAAGTATTCGTGACAATTGCCGTAAGACCACCAAAAACACCTACTCCAAGTCCCTTAAAAGCTTCCTTTAAAGCAACTTATCGTTCACGAAGTGCACTCTTTTTACAAGAACGTGCATTCACAACACCTCTGCAGAAAGTTGAAATTCTGCAGCAGTGATTTCATGAGCATTGAGAGCGATTTATTACCAGACTTTCCCTCTACTCAGTGATTACCTTGTTTGGCCACCTAAAGCACCATCTTTCTCATCAAACTTTCCATATGCCTTCCCCCTAGCCACTGGAACCGTTCACCACCTTAAAGTAGCGGAACCATTCATTCTGAAGCCACTATTTTGGATGTGCGAAATAAGCGGAAGCGACCTCAAATCTGGCTCGTAAGAAACAAATACAAGAGATGAATTCTTCAGAAACAGAATAATATGACAACCTTCACACCACTGTACAAATGAGCAAGTGCATTGTTACTATTGCTGTCGGTCTGCGGCTGACATCTTAACATTCTGCGCCGCATTAATTCATGCTGCTCATCAAAAGTAAATGTGCCGACGCCATGTGCCATCGATGACGCTACCTTAAACATTCGAACATAACAAATTTAATATTCATCAAAATCATTGATAATTGCACTTCGGCCTGATAAAATTCAATTAATGAGAAAATTCATGAAAGATTTCTCTAACGAGGACGGTCATATACCTTTGAAATGCTATTTGTAACACCATAACCAAGTCCACTAACGAAACCTCCGAGGTCACCCTCAAAAAAGAGTCCTTCGAAACTTTCTTTCAGATCTGACGCCAGTCCCATAGGGTTACCAAATGCATCCATCGTCACGATTATATTCAGTGTTTGATTTTTCAGTTCAGCTGCAAAGAGCTGAGTGCATTCTTACGAATGTTGTATTAAGAATAGCGTTCGTCGGGGAACGGGTCCCCGACTATTTCGCTCATCGACTTTCTGCTCTATCTCTCCCCCCCCGAGGAATTCCTCCAACCCCGGGCAGTTCGCTTCCCGACTTTTTTGTCTAGAGCTCCGCCTGGCCAACGCTCTCCTCGACTTTTTGTCGCCATCCGGCCACTTTGTTTCCGACGCCTCCTTCCTCCCTCCCCGGCTAAAAAGTTGCTCGCAGACAAACACTGATGCAAGCATTTTACCGCAGTAAAAAGTTAGCAGCAAAACTGCAATTCACTCAACTGTAAATAGTGAATGTAATAGGAAAATGAATGATATTATAGCAGAACTGCGACGAGTCAACATTTACGAATTCAAATTCAATGGATTCCAGAAGACACATCATATGGCGAAAACTTTCTAAAGCCTCCAAATCTTGTTATTTGATCGGAAAAGTTCACATCGTTTTGAAGTAACAAGTTTGAATATTAATAAAATAACGAACTAGTAGCGTAATAAAATCCTCACCAATATAAAATTTACTGAGTGAATCCATTAGGAACAGAAACGTCTCAAAATATCTAAACTGCCTGAACGGTGGCAATGAAATAATCGCATTTTCAAAGCTGACCAACTTGATGTTGAACTGCCGTCGTAGTTTGCGTAATTCTGGTGGCAGTCCACTTTTTGGTACTGTTACCACTAAAACTTCTAGCGTTGCATCTTCAACTCGAAATATTGCACACAACAATTCGAACTAGTGAATCATTACAGTAATCATACCATGAGTCTCTCTCATCAAAATATTTTAAAATCAAACACATTAAGAATCAATTTGGTAAAATCATTATCAAAAACTGATTGAGATACACTGAATAATAACGAAAATATGGTTTTTGCATCCACAAAAAATTGGGTTATTACAAACAATACCAGATAGAGCGACAGTTCCCATTTCGAGGTCGAGCGTTCCAAAGTAACAACGACGTGCTTTCGTTGGAACGGTTAACGTGAGTGACAGATTAGGTGGTTGAAGAAGAGCATTCGGCTGAACGCTATCAGCTGCTTCTGATTCTAATAACAATTCACTGACTTGCTTTCAAGAGTTTATTATTTAGTTAGACATTACTTATTTCTGATTCGGAAAGTGCATACCATCTCAACCATAATCAAAATTAACATTCATTTTTGCACCATCAATGAACAATGGATCAAACACGAATCCCAAAGAAAAAGAAAATTTACCCTGGATAAATTGAATCATTTTCCACATGAGTAATTCATCCAACTGCACAGACATATCACACATTTTTATTCGGAAGCACTGAAAGAATATTACAGGAACAATGCAATCAAGTGCTTGATACACTTTAAAACAACTTAATCCGAGTGTCATATGATGACAGATTCATTCAACAAGTGTTGCAAATGAAGTGAATTGCGACAAGAAAGAACGACTCACGTCAAAAGCGTCATAATGTTCGAATGGTGTGCAGTTCATTTCGAGTTTCAAAGCTGGTCTCATTATCATACGATCTTCCGGATCCGGATCACCAGTTAACGCATTCTGTTGGCAATATAAAACTTGCCAATGCTCGGTTGATAGCAGTTGGTTGTCGATCTCAAAAATCAATTTTAATTTCTTATCTCAAATGTTTTCTTGGGGTGCGTTCAGGGATAATAAATGTTGAACAAGTAAGCAAACAATCAAAAGCGTAGGATAATACTAGTTAAAGTGTGTGAACAAATAACTAAAATGAATGAGGAGTTGTGATTGAACACAGAATGAAATTGTTAGTGGCCAATTAGTTAGCGTTTAATAATGAATGTTAATTGTTGGAAAGAAAAGAAAGAACTGACTTGAATCAATTCGACAGTACTGGTTATCTGATAGGTGCGTTCGCGACGATTCGCGTGCAGAAGAACACCGTGAAATCGAGCATAGATTAACTCTTCACGATGGCTGTTTATCAATGAAATTCCGATTCCTGCAAACCGAATGAGTTATCGAAATACCGATATGAAAATTCAAAAGCACAACAATTCATAAAGCACTTTTTTGGGAAATAATTTACAATGCTTCAAACGAAAAATAGACTTATAAATCAAGGACTTGATGAATTAATCGAAAATCAAATTCAAAATTAAAATTACATCAAATCAAAATCAATTGATGATGTCACTAATGGAGCTGTCTCATTTGAGTTTTTTGGTGCACGGTAATGAGGCTTAAATTCACTCTGAGATAAAAGATATGCTAGAGCAACGGAAGGAATTTTGAGATTACTCATTATTCAAAAAATTTGAGGACAAATTATAGTCGTCAAATATTTAACAAGATTAGAATACAGTAAAACTGACCATTTCGTATTGAAATATCCATCTCAAAATCATTTGAAGTGCTCTTTTGATCACGCTGTCGTCGGCTAGATGTAGACGAATAGCATTCAACAGCAGCATAATTCACTGACTGTGAAGAGCAACTCGCCTGATCGGTTATTCGTATGACCTTAACCAAACTGCTTAACATGCAATCGCAAGCAAAACCCCTCATGGTAATTTTCGGAGTTGAACTGATTGATTAACACCCAACATTCACTCAGACAAAGCGGATGATAATTATGATACATCAGCTGATAAAAATGATACATTGTTTTGATAGATGCAAACAGCGAACTACCGACAATCGATTGCGACAAATTTTGATCGGCTAACCAATGTTGGTCCTCTATGAAGACATTCCACATTCAAAACACCACTTCCCGGACGTTGCGTTTGTAATTCCCAAATTTGTTCACTTGGAACGCCATTTTCGTTGAGCGAAGAATGAGCGTTAGGCATCGCTAGAAGCACTTCTGATCGACGGCCTTCTACGAACATTCCATCCCTTTTACATTTCAGACGATTATCCTTCAAAATAAAAAACGATCAACAAGTAAGTAACCATAATGAATAGACCAACAGACATAATCGACAAGACAAATGATTGAAAACAACTACAACCATTACTGCAGCACATAAATTCATTCAGCAGTTGAACTACAACTTCAATTATGAACATTCTACAAACAAAAAAGCGGATTGGTGGATTTTATTAACTGATCGCGCAAAAGAACATTATTAGTCTGACCGTGAGTATGTATAACAAAAAGTGCAATATTCGTTCTGAATAATGAAAAAATATGTAAAAGATAAAAGGTGAATTCCAAAGGATATAAAAATGCTCGCCATAGTCATGAACCACTTTTGATAGAGGTCACGAGCAGTATTCCGTTTGAGCATCATCAACATGAAACCACCTTTGTCGAGTACATCCAGTACGTAACGTTCGCCTGCTTTCGCTCGGATATTCATACCGATGTTCTCCAAACAACCGTCATCCGTAAAACGCCATAACTGATTACGACTGCTATCACTAACATTCAACTTATTCAGCACTACTTTACCTTTCTGCAATACTTCCAACACTAACTCATCCTCATCCACAAAACCGCGACACGACGATCTTCTGAAATTATTCACTTTCACCGAATGCAACAAAGATTCTACTCTGCGATAATAACATCAACAGAAGCTGCATGAACGCAGTCGTCAATCTCATCGGTCATTTACATTGATTACAAACCAAATGCAAGTGAGAAACATACTTATTGAATGAGTGTGCCAATTTTATATAAACATTATTCTCGTAGATAAGTGATGGACCTAGGCCAGGCTTTTGAGGATCGTAGCAATTACATTTGTTCTCGTACACTTGCAATATCAGCATTTTACATCCATACAGATCATCCCATGCATAATCCACGGTGCTGTGTGCCTTACATATAGTTCTTAAGTAGTTTTTACCTGGCCTGAAAGGACTTATGTAAGTTATGAATGAATGAGTGAGCATCAACTAATCGCAGATGAATTCTAAGATAAATCGAGCATCGAACCTATCATTTTTTTGATAATACAGCACTGGAACATCTGTAACATTTTCGAGTTGAATCGGCGGCGGGAAATAGCGTGCATCGGTGAATGTTACACAGAATACCGCACCGTTCAGTATGATCTCAACACGAACGAATTGAGGTGTTTCATCAGCATCACTAAATTCATTTAATGTCATAATCAAACGAATACAGTTCTTGTCCATCTCAACTAGCAATTGTGCAAATCAGATGCCAAACAATTCCGAAAAAAAAGTGATTCAAAGCTCGAAACAGATTTTAGCGGATGTTGATTCGAGTTTAAAACACGCAAAATAAGCGTTTCTTAGAACAATGACCGATGAAACATAAACGTTTATGCGCGTTCAATGAAACGAACCGCATTGTGATATGAAAGGAGCTTATTTTATCGATTTTGAACGCGCAACTCCAGTGCTTCACATCATCACGCTTTACACACAACATTCGGTTATCTTCAAAATTTTCATGCCATATTATGCTATCTCCGCTCATCATTTTTACGTGTTCGCTCGACTGCTGAAAAATGATGTAATTTTGTCAAACGAATCGATTGACAATAACGAAACATAAATGAAGATCACTAACATTAACACGATCAACATGGCTAAGTGATAAGCCATACGAGGTTTCATTATTGAGTACGTAGCGTGGCGTCAACAGAACCACTTGTGTGTCTTTGTAACGACCGGTACCTTGCCTTACTTCCACACCAACGTTGTAGATACTAAAACGTGTTAAGATTACCACCATTATGAGCTGTCATTGACGATCAGCGTCAATCTCATTGTCTTCTTCGGATAACCGAAATTTTTAGAACACTTCAAACGAGATTATCTTGGTGCTCCTTGGATAACAACCACTGAAGAAATTAACCGGATGAATCGGTGCGTGTACGTTTTTAAGCAGAACAAAAAACACAATTAAACTCAACAACAACGGTGGGCGACCTATTCAAGATGTGAAGTAGTGAACGACAATGTAGTAAAATTTTTAGTGTCGCTGACAGTCACCAGATTAGACTAAAGTATAGATCATGCGATCTCAAACACTATCAAATCATCGTTTAAAAAACCTCTTTCGCTAACAAAAATTGAAAATAGCAATTTTCTTAGCTCATTCATCTTTTTTTTTTAAAACTGAAAACTGCAATTTCGAATAAGAATAACAGAAAAAACATCCTACCGAGTCGAGGCATGCTCATGAGTCAAGAACAACTTCAACGCGTGCACACCAACTGTTAATGCAAATTTACGACTGAATTCTGGTTTATATCCCTTGTCTTTGGTGAAGTTGTTACCAGCACGAATAATACATCTGTAATGTTTCATTCTCATCTTCTAGGGAACAAAATCGCTCGAAAGTTAAACACGCCAAATTTCATGTTGAAAGCAAAATATTCACACTGCAAAAAGGACATTGAAATGGAAGAATAAAAAGTGAATGAAGAGTAACGAACTGTTTCGGGCAATTGTCATCTGAAAATGAAAACATCAACGGATGACGATCTTTGGCACGTTCGTGCTCTTCGAATTGTCCAGCAGCGATGAATTCAGCTGCCTCTTGTTTTATAATCAGCGGAATCCCAGAACTGTTGACGAACCAGTAGGGTACCTTTATTGGTTAACGTGCGATGGACGGATGGATGGATGAAGAAATAGATAAAATGAAAACAACAGCTTGGGTGATAGTTTCAGTGAAACGAACAGAAAAGACGCTTCATTTACTGTTGGGTAGTGATGAGACAACAATCGTGCAGATGACTCAATTGGAACGTTTACAAAATAGAGAACAAGTTGAAGTGATATTCTGGCACTGGATTACCATAAATCGCAAAAGTTGACTGTCAGTGAAAACTTTTGAAAGATGGAATAAGAATACTGAAAAAAATCAACATTAAGAACTAACCCAGAAGGACAACGAAACAGCACCGCCACGTCCAACGCTCACACTTAAATACATATCCAATAAACGCCCACATGTATCACGCATTCGGATTTTCAGTCTATGCGACTCTGATACGGATGCTTTCTGATTGAGGATTGCTCTAAAAACAGCTAGTTACTTCACTGAAACTGGAGATCAACTCACATTAATTGCAACAACCATATAGTGTTTGAAAGTGCAATGGAAAGGCATTGCTTGAGATCAAGAAGTCAAAAAGATTGAAATGAAAATATCAAAAGGAAGAATTAAGACAAGAAACTTTTCACCTTGTTAGTGAGATTGTTTGTATTGAGATGAATCGATCAGTTGAAACTCCGAAATGTATGTCAGTACCAATATTCACATGAAAAAGTATTCCACAATTAATTTCTCTTGAAACAAATATCTACTCAACAAATAAGAACCCCAATAATGTAGCAAGATGGACTGCCGATTAGGGCTTGGCTAACTCTTCCCACTCGCAAAGAATCAAACAAACTTTAGTGATATGAAGCTGTTGTCCTGCACCAACTGCGTATGTGATTCCAGAGAGAATGAATTCTGCATCGGTTGGTAACAAATTGAGAAGAGTTAATGGAGGCATAAAAACAATCGTATGACCAGGCAGCGTTTCATATTCGGGATAGTGTTCTCGTTTCACCGAAGTGCATATCCTTGAAGATAAAATATACAGTCGATGCCATACATTCCATGTGTACTGGTCAGCTATTGCAATTTCGAACACAACTCACCAATATAAGGACTGTTTTAATGCTGTCCCAAAGCATATCGCATCGTTGACCACTTCACCAGCATTCTTCACTTTGTGCCAATCAATCTGAATATGTAAAGAAAAGAGATGAAATTCAAAGGGCGATAGATCTTCGAACAGAAAAACTGGAGATGTTATCATGACAGAACTAAAATAGAATAAACTGAATTTGATCCTACAGGTCACTGAAGCTAGAATATAGTTGGTGACACGCTTAAAATATTACGCAACCATAATTACTCTTCAGCTGGAATAAAAAATGAAAATGAAGATAAAAAAACCTGAAGCATACCAATTGAGCACGGACGTCGACCATTCCTTCTGGTTTTACACAGATTTGCGCATTTGCAAATTCTAGCGGTACCAAGAAAGCATGTCCCGGTTCAATGCGAAACATTGCAGTACCTAAAGCAGTAAGGATCAATTTTGAATGCAATAGTTAGTGTCAGGTTAGGATCATCATTTTTCTAATAATGTGTTTATGTATTATATATTCATAAAGAAATGAAATTTTAAACTAGCGCAATGAAACTTTAAATCAACCTGATGAATGATATTCAACTTTTCTGTTATCAAGAATAACAAGAACTGCATCTGGTAGACGATTAACAATGGTAACTGCTGAACGTACAACAACAACTTTACGTCCATCTTTATCAACACTTACATCCACAACCAAACGAGCGTTTGAGAGTGCAATCACCTGGTAAAATTTGTACTTTTCATTGCAACTGTTAAATGTAAACTTCATTGCTCTGAATTACAGAACTCGAAGACGCAGTCGTAGATTACATACATTGTTATCTACGTTTTCAAACAAACATAAAGTTGCTATGGAAAAACTGTCTTTAAATGTATTCACAAACTCATAGGCTAATAACTATGGATGAATTTTTTCTCAGTTAATAAGTTGAAAGTGAACAATTACCGAGGAGTCAGAAGGAGTGGCAGTCTTAGTCGAACAATATCGTGCCACACGAAAATACGTACCGACAGACTCAACATTAACCGGTGATGTTTCATCCCATCCATCCACTCGAATAATCAACTGACGAGGTTCATCCGAGTATTCCTATAGCAACACAATGATTTATGGTAACATCGTATTTTTAGCTCATAAACATACCATGAGCACGAGTTTTTTCGTAGGGAACTCGAAAGTATGCATTGAGCCAGCAGGAACGCTGATCCATTTCGCAACTGATTTGCGTTGTTTGGCTCTTGCTTCAAGCACCTCTTCAACTGCAGTCGTGAACTTCAGATTCGACCCAGTTTCGTTTCTTAGCAGATACGGCAAGTGATCAGATCGTGAACATATTGACGCATTCCTTACAAATGAACAACAAACCATCATTACTGCATCGTCTCAGCTGCGTTCAGTTCAAGTTTATACAAATAACAATTGCTTTCAAGATACGATCACATCCTAGTTGCAATTATGACATCCGCAAAAATCAAGAAATCATTCCGTTAAACTATAGAATACTGAGCTCCATTTATTTAGATACATAATTTTTCTGTTTTGTGATAACTGAACCATTAATTTTCGAAGAGAAAATTTACACACATTTAAAATTAATTCCGTACTTCTCACTTTGACCAATTCCGTCTTCTCAATTAATATCATCAATATTCCGATTGAAGTGCTTACTTCAAAATCTTCATAATATTCGTATCCGGCAAAACCATTTGTATAACTGAGTTAAGAGGACAAACCTAAAATTCGAATCGAACGATTGCTTGATTTCAGACCATCGTGATTTGAAGTGCAATGCTTGCTGCACAAAAGCCTGTGTTATGTTGATATTTAATGTGCTCTGCTCTTCTGCAATGATACTCAAAAGAGCAATTGGCACAAATATAAATGAATAAAATTCGACAAAAGTATAAAATAAAGCTCATTACATCATAAGTGATACACACCTGCATGCAACTCAACAGCAGTTTTGTTCTGTCGATATGAAATAAGAAACTGCTGTATATGCCATGGTTCCAGCAATGGCTCCCATCCAAATAGGCGTTCGTTGAAATAATCAATCGCAAATATAAACGATGATGTGATTTGTTCAAGATGCTTTTCCACTGACAGCTCTGAACTTTATACGGTATGAAGTCGCGTTTCAGTGCGGAAAGAATATCTACTAGCTTATTGAAACGTCAATATCTCATATAAATGCATCCAATAAAAGGAAAAGAGACGAGAAGCAAACAAACTTTTTATAATGAAACGAACAAGCGGAAAAGCAGTTCCCTGGAAGTCATCCACAAACCAAAACGAAGCCTGATGGCTCTTCACTAATATGCGCACAACATTAACCTGTGCACCTTCTGAAGAGATCAATTCTCGTTTAGAATGTGAGAAGATTTCAAATTAAGCTACTGCCATGTGATCAAATGCTCTTCAGCGATTGATGTAAAGAGTAACCTTTTTGGCCCGATTCAGTAGTGTTTTTTGGAATGACACTATGCTGCATCGAATTCATCAGTCTCTTCAATGAGCATTGCAGCACATTTTTAATAACAAGCGCATCTCTATAGGAAAATCTAGCCACAACATCATTGATACCAATCTGAACTATGTTCATTCAAAATCCCGAACAATTCAGGAAATAAACCTTTAAATAGGGACAATCATGCAACATTCATTGCCATAATTATTGGCAGAAAAACAGAGTTATGTTCAATATTATACGGATTTACATACCGTAAGTCGATGTTTTGTAAACGCTGCAGAGGATGAATCAGATAAAACAGTCCGAGTCTGTTCTGTAACTAGCATCTCTGATTCGCCAGATAATACGAGCGTTGCAGAAAAATCATTCGTTAGTTGACATCTGCTTTCTTCTTCAGATGACATCGTGCACCAATCAATATTAATTTGCTATAATTTTATTCAACTTCAAACTGCCCACTCCACTGAATGAACATAAACGCACCTGTATTTCGAGATTGGCAACCAGCAGTCCATGTGGATCACCCATATTGAGAACGGCCGTACAGTGCGCAACAAGCGCTAAACTATCCTTGCAATGAGGTGATTCTAACAGAATAAGATCAGACTCGCGTAATGTTATCTTCAACGTAACAGTCTGTTCATTGCTTTCACTCGAATCGAAACGTCCTTCTCGTAGACTAATCCCCAACGGTTGTCGCAATGACTCTTCAAATAGTATCACCATCAACCAATTATTGAGCAATATAAACGAACGTTCACTAGCCAACTACCCACCAGATGATCCAGTATCAGCAGCATTCAATAAAATGAAATTTTTCGCATCATTAAGCCAATCAACGATCAGAAGAACACGAGCATTCAATAAGACCAACGTCACTACAGGTGCTTCGTCCTTTTTGATCATGAGATGAGCTTCGGCCATAAGCTGTGCACTTAAATATGTCATAATGGGTAAAAGTGAAGTGCATACAAAAGCAAATGATATTGTAAAGAACCTGTTGGCTGTGTTCGTTGCTCGAGAACAAAGGATTGTCTTGAAGACATTCTCGTTCCGTTCAACATCTGCAAAATTCTTAATCTGAGAATGTTTTCATAAACATTCAACATTTCTGAAACTGAAGTAGCCGAAACAAAAGAGAAGCAACAGCAATTCACTGAAATGATCAAAAGACACAGAATAAGCCCTTTAAATAATCCTACAATCTGTGATGGGCAATGTTCGCTATACCATCATTATCGGAGCTACTTCTTTCGACAGCGCGATAACTCACAGCTCTGCGGAAAGTTGCACCGATAGCTTCCGCCACAATAATTTTTTAACGCCATAAAGTAGCGATAATTTGCGCTATTCTCTTTAATTAGCGTTTTAGTGAGCCACTTTTTTTCCAGACTTCCATTGACTCGCTACTTTTCGACTGCAACGGAATGCCCATTTTTTCCAACATCGTGACACTTAAATCTAGCACTGTTGACAAGTGCTAAATTCGCACTCGTACATGTCCTAACGGATCGAAGTCTAATCATTCCTCAAGAGCACCATTTGCACTCTCACTTTAAATATATAGGTTACTTAACAATGCACTAAAGTCTTCTTCATTGCGTATATAATAACATGCAAACGATGCAGATTCTCAGACGAAATGCTCAGCGTGTTGATATTAACGGAGAGGTTTAATAGCCAGTTGATTGTTTTATCTCTGAATTTTCTTGTCATCACATAGCTGTTTTCTTATTGTTGAACGTTGTTTTTAATACGGAATGGTGTTTGTTGTTGAATGATTATATACACGTTTTTAACTGTTCAATAGCGTAATGAGGTTATTTGCCCGCAAAAATCAGTAGTGCAGCTGCAAACTTTGAGGGAAAGTAGCAACTAGCGATAGCGGTCCAATTTTGTTCAATATCGTTTTAGCGAAGACTTGCGCTATTTTTCAGATTAGTTGCTCTTTTAGCGAGCATCTTTTGCTACTGTCTCGTCAGTGGCACCACTAGCGGATTACCTTTATTGGAAAAGAAATATTTTTTGGCGGATTAGCAAAGCTAACACATTTTAGTATGGCTATCATCGGTTATATGGCAATCAAATCTGATAATGATGCGTTCGTTTGGCACTTCTGATGCCATGCTTGACAAGATAGTCTACTGATGCGATCACTGAAACATCGAGCGCACAAAATGAAATTTTCAAAGAGATTTGTTTAAACTGCAACTATACCATCAGATCGTGAGTCCAACAGCTCGATATTTTCACAAATTAAATCCAATTCAGACTGATTATCGACGAAACAATCGAACGATATACGCGACCTAATCAGTTTCATCGTTGCAAAACCCTCGAATTTTTTTTTCAGTTCAGTCGATGGCACCAAACAGTTCAACTGAAACACCACTCAAATCGCGTTTTTATCTGACACAGTCTTTTCCTTAAGATAATTTTCATGCCATATTTTCAGTTTTCAACACAATCTCACATCTACCATTTAAAATACAACATTTATGTGCCTTTTATTACAATTTGACAGTTCTCTTCATTGCGAATACTAGGTATAACTTTTCTAATGAATAACATATCCTCATATAGTCATTTTCTGATGCTATATAACTGAATTTGTAAACATATAAGATTGCATTACTCCTTCGGCAAATAATTGAATAATGCACGATAGTAAAGGATCTGAACCTTCACCGATATGAATTATTCTAAATCGATCGACTTTACAATACAAATCTCACCTGAACGTCACGAAAGTTTATCCTTAACGAGAACGTAGCATATTTGTTACTTGATCCAACTTCCTTAAAACAATCGAACGGTATTACTTTAACTCTGCGACATTATCACTTTTAAGGGAAGTTAGTTTGATTGAACGTAGGGTTATATTCATTGAAGCAGCGTAGATCAACAACAGCGTAAAACTAACACAACTAATGATTGGTTTCTGCAAAATTTCAATCGGTATATTTTCTGGTACAGGTACCAATGCATCGCCTAGATTTTTCTCTAGAAATCCACGCAACAAACGATAGAAATCGCTCGTGAATTTCAACTCGATATTCGATAGCTCTGTTATAATCGACAGATCGGGCACTGAAATTGAAATTTTTGTTTTCGAGACGTCTTGGAAAGTGTTTAGAAGAAGACTGGATCGGATTTCGGGTTTTCGATGGTTTTTATGGTACAATGTTAATTGCTGATTGCTTTGCAAATTTTTCAAATGGTATTCTGCCTGACAACGTCAATATGAAATGTTTACAAGGCGTATCAATTTCAATTGGTCAAATGGTAGTCAAAGTTTTTCGCTTTTGTATTGATATTGAATCTTCTTGAGATCCAAAATTTCTTGAAACGTCCGGTGATAGTGACGCAAATTTTTTTTACGATATCAAGATGTTGAGAGTGTTTGGTGCTGGATGATCAAAATCTCTGATTCAGTCTGAAATTTTGGGGATTCCTTGACACAAGAATGCGTTTTTTGATAACCAAGTACCTTTTCTTCTCAACTAAATTTCCGAAGTTATCATATCAGCATTTAGCGAATACTTGATCGGAGGAAGTTCAACTCTTCAATTTCCTCATCAGAATCCCGTACCATCCCAAGAAAGATTTATAAAAGTCAAAGCACTGTATGATTAATCATTGAAATCATACCAGTCATTCAATTTTCTTCTCCCCAATAATGTTTCATTCACTCATAACACATTCCTTCCCCATATTGACCAAACAAAGTTTCGTATCTCAATGAGGTCCCACAATCCTCCCTTGATATATTTCGTTCACTGCACCAGTCCCGACTGCCCACTATTTTTGTTGCTATCAACGAATGCTTCCTTGCGCACGTATTTATTGTTGTTCACTTCATTTCAGTCTTTATTGGAAACTAATCAGTGTATCTTTCTTAATCTTAGCGAAGTGTTGTTTGCTTTGGTTGCTTATCACAACGACCTTTCTAATTGCAAACTGCAACAATTTTATGGCTATCCAGGGAATTCAATGTTAATTGCAAGAGAAACTTTGAAAGTGAAGATTCATAGAAAACTGAAGGGAGGCTTGGACTCTAGAGATGAGAATAAATATTCTCACTACCTTGAAAACAGTTTTGTCACCTGTAATAATCACAAACTTGAACAATATGTACAACTTGAAATAGATACGACTTGTGAACGATTCGACCTTGATGGTTTTCCAGTATCATTTGAAAATGCGTTCACTGATTAAATGAAGCACTCCGTTCAGTGTTTCACACTGTACCACAAAAATCATCACCCTCGTACAAATGTCGTGATTTCGAAAAATGTCTCCGGGAAAAAGGAATCACGAACAAACCTCGATGAGAGAAAACGCCATCCAAATTGCGAAACACGTGAACGGTTAAATCATATAAACTTGACACAACATTTTTCTTTGAACGCACAAAATGGAAAGTATTAAATAAGTGTTCACCAACTTTTTGAGAATCTGAAAGTTATTAAAAGCCATAGATGAATAGTTATGATGGATACCCTACAACTGAAATTCAAAAGCAAAAATCAACGAATTTCAAAGTTGTTTACGTAAAAAGAATGATGAACTGTCCACTTAACGACAATAGCAATATTCAAATTTAAATGAACATTATCAATATTATCAACAACAGCAATATTAAATGAATATGAAATGGCAAAAGATGAAACGAGGAGATAGCTAGCCGAAACCTTCGATTGCATGATGGGACGATGAAAGACTAGAAACGCGAAAACTCTCATAGAATGCAATATTTGAGCAATTTACGGTCATCCAATCAATCAAACAGTTGTAGTTATCATCATCTGAAAGCATATACAGATTCAGTTTGCGGCAATGAAACTCCATCATTTTCACAGCGGAAACGAGACTGCTGCAACAAAAATAACTACTGAATAATTGAGAATTAACATATATGCTCGTCCAAATCAGCTTGAAGAACCGTTTTAAACACATTTCCGGTAAAAAATCACGAATTTACGCATGGCAATTGTTTCGAAATTTGTTTCGAACGAATCTTTCCACGGATGAGGGAGGGGATTCATATTGAGGGAGAGGGATTCATTTAAGAAAAATGGTAGCTAAAAATATTGAGAAAACGCATTTACTTTGGGAGAAAACACATTTCCATAATAAACTCAAATGAAGGAAAAACTTATTCGCTACATTCGTACTGATGAGGAAGTTTTTTTTAAACACACGTAAACTTTTATATGATACGAAAATGATGAATCAAATAAATAGTACCAATTCCGCATTGTGTTTCAATGGAATATTCAGTGAAAAGTACTATTGAGTCAGCGAATTTGAATTGATTATTGACGTGAAATGATTCAGTTTCACAGACAATCGCTTGATCACATAACTGGCTTAAAGGGAGTATTATTGTAGACGAACACTCAACATCGACATCCATCTGAACACGTGACCCGTGCCCATCTGCTTGCTGTAACTTTTAGCGAGTACTTATCTTGAAATATTACTTGATATTCAAAATCAAAGCAATATCGACAATTCGCAACCCAAAACTGATATCGCACTTTTCTGATTGAAGCTTACTGAGGTGAACACAGCTCATTACAATACTCACAATCAATCGGGACTTTTCTCCTTCGTTTCACTTTGATAATGAATTAACTTTTGAAAGAAACTAAATGCAATCATAATCAAGGTTTATACAGCAAAGGCAAAAAAGGATTTTTTACCAGATCATTAGGAGGTTTACGACTTTTAATAACTTGATCTTGCAGTTCAAAAAACTGAAGCCAAAAATCCAACAGAGCACACATGTAACGATGTGTGTGCACATATGCAACATTCATTTTTTTCGGTACAGACACTCGAAACCGCATATCATAATCTCTTTTCAGTTGAGGATCTGATGGATAGTACCTTGAAATAAATATTCAGCGATAAGTTGGTAACAGACAATACGTGGTAGGGCCGGGTTGGGGGGCCTCAAACGTAGGGAGTTAAATCCTGAGTACCCGAAACCTCTAACTGCTCAAAAGCCTACGAATCAACCCCAGTATATAGGATATATAATGATATGACATCGTTTTCCAATAAAGCGGATACAATTCATTGTTTTGCATCAGCTATTGGTGAATGGTCGTAACGGGGTGATAAACACTTCAACAAAACCCACTTGAAACAAAGAACAACTACTTACTTGATAATATCGACAGTGACCTTTGGTTGATCATGCAAATCAGTTGTAGAAGATTTACATTTTTGACTACTTCTATCATCTTCAAAATCATTATTCGATTGTACAACTAAACGTTCACCATATAAAGACGAATAGAATGGTGTCGTATCGGATAACAATACCGAACTGAATGAAATCGTCGCACGTAATGGTTCATCTTCACATCCAATTCTCATCTTAACTTTTTATCTACTCTTTAATACCACTGACAATATAATCCGAGTTCATTCTTAACGCAGTTCATCGTATTTCTCAATAATCTGCGAATGTAGTGATATATTTTCCCCAGATGAGAAATTCATGCTAATGAAAATGATCAAGAACTTCAAAGAACACAAAAATAGCCCACTTCAACTGCGACGGTCGGCTCAACAGCTTGTAAAACTCCAAGACGTGTTTTGTTGGCTGTATAATTCATGTGAATACGTAAGACTGACGCGTACAAACACAATTTCAAAGCGTAAAAATCTAGAAATAACAGTATCATATTTGAGAACCACATTGTTTCTTCAATGCTTTTAAAATAGCTGAAAATTTTTGCGTTAGTTCAAAAAAAGAATTTTTAACGGTAACAAACGACGAACGGCAATTTACAAATATTCACCATCGGATGTAGCGTTACGTTTTGATGTATTTGTTTCTGTTAACGTTTCATTGTGAACGATTGATGTAGAAGAGAGCTTTTTTGATAGTGCTAATGAATAATCATTTTCATTCGGTAGTCGTCCAAGAAAACCAAAAAAATCGAACAGCATCGTCCAACTACGACGGTTCATACCCACAATAACATCCGCAAAACGAGCGTCCACTGTACAATTCATCTGTTTAAAACAAAAAACATTAAGCTGACTCCATATTCACTGACTGAAGTTTTTTGGAAGACTAACATTTCATACTCGTGAAACATTTACAAGTGAAATACAATTCAAATTCTTGCTGCCATCAGAAAAGTCTTCATTAAACACTCTGTTAGAGGCGTTTTGTCGTTATGCACTGTTACAGATGTACACTCTCAAACATTTGAGGAGTTACTATACTTTCCTTGCGGTTTTTAGTTAGACTCATTTGTTTATGGGTTATCCTCGCAAGTTGGGTGAACATCTTTGTACTTGTGCAGTGGTTTGTTGCACCTGCACTGGAATAACTCAAAAGCTCTTGTCCTTCGCTGCATCTCGTGCACAAGCGATTTTGTCGAATTCGATAAAATCTTCGACAGTGATATCAATCGACGGTTGAAAAGGGAACTCGAACCCCTTTTTACTCTGCACTGATATCTTAAGGTGTCTGTCTGAGAATACCTTCGAACCGCCATCAAATGATAGTTTCGTCTATAAATGAGAAATGAACTTTGTGAACCTACACCAATCATATTATAAAATACTAGTAATGGTTCTCATTCCGTAGAAGAACTCCTCCATTTTGGTTCAGCTCATCGATGCCTTTCTTCCTCTGATTAAAGTCTACACTAAACTTATTCGCAAGAGGCACATATTCTCAATATGAAGTGAACTATACGGTAACTTCTCTGGACTAGAGTATGATCTGTACACTGAACCGAACGATATATTGTAACAAAATGTTACAAATATGACGGTGACGGGTGTCCTGAGAAGTTGACGAAATTAGGGAGTTTTTTTGTTAGAATTTAATTTCATTATACTATCTTTCCTTAAGCAGCTTCACTTGATTAAGGTACTCATTATACGGATACATCACGTTAGAACATGGAATGAATCAACTGACAAACGGAGCAAATATATGGTGATTGTGAGGAAAATTTGCGAAGTAGTCTTCAGTGTTTCATTATGAGAACGCCATAAGAGTTGGCTTTTGAATGAGCACAATATTATTCACTATTCTGAAATAATTTAATTTCACTGAATGTGCAGCGGGATAACTGTTTAGAAAGAACGAAGGATATGATAGTAAACAAAGAACAACGAGAGAATTTACTTTCATTCAATGATGGCCAACTCAGATGAAATATTAAATTTGCAATGATGAAATTCAATGAGTGCTGCTTTTTAACGTACTGAATAAGTCTTGTATCTATTTGTCGCGGTGGTGAATATGAACTCTCCTGATGGATAAAGTTGTGTGAATTCATATAAAAGAATGACAGATAAATCATTGAGAGGAAGCTTTTCGAGATTATGAAAACAGTTAATTAATTGATAAAACAATGACTTTGGTTTAAACGATACGTGTAATATAATGAGAAATATTACTATTAATTGTTCATCTGCATTCGTTTCATGTGTCTTCGATAAGATGATTCAATTGTTGCTTATACGAAAATTTATTATTGTTAGCTGAGTGACAAACTCGAAACACAATAGACAAGACAAGATTGATGCTATAAACGACATCAACGGAATGAAATCACATGAAGCAAGGAGGTACAACAATCATTTTATATTTGTGTACATATTCAAGATTTACTCAATAGCCTTCTTTTTACATCGCTATTCCATTGTAATGATAGCAGCTCACACGTCGATTCGTACACAAATACAGCCTAATACAACAAAACCCTCAATTAGCGTTGTGAAAAATAATTTTTTCGAATTACTCGTTAAGGAACGCCTTTTAGGTGGTCATAAAGTTTCCATGAGTCTCGTACTCATTTCGCATTCATATACTTCAAAATTCATCGGCTATACCAAACTGCATATCAAAAAAATCCCCATCGACATGCATCGTTCTCTCCGGTGTAACTACACCACAAAAATTATCCGATAATTTCATTATCTGCAATGTTCTGCAAGAAAGGAGACGATAGAAACTTTCTTGCTGTCTGGCTTGGTACCGTAGCTCTATCGCAATATCTAAAAATGCAAAATAAGTGCGCTTAATAAAACCTTCAAGCCAACTAAAATCGCTCCTCAACGAGCAATTTAAAAAATATTCATCACAATACTGCCTTCAAACAATACAATTTTTCATTTCCACAATCAGCCATGATATTGTGACGGATAATCGAACAATACAATGAGCACTGAAAACGCAAACTAATAAAAGACAAGACTGGCCATTAATGAAACAAGTAAGTCCACTTCGTCTCAAAATCTATTTGGTGATTAAAAATAGGGTAATAAAAGCTTCAAGACTGAGTACTTGCTTCTTACCCATGAACCAAGTCGCACATCATTGCCTCCTCCGTCATATTGCCCCTTGCTGATTTTGGATCTTATTCCCGAGTGCAACAAACCTACGCTCAATTCGATGATGCAGTTCACTTTCAGAGGATTTACTTCTCTCAAACATGCACATTTGGTGGATATCAATGTGCATGCAGGACAGTACCTTTAAACTGTTTGTAAAATCCCCGGTTAATGGATACTGTAAATGATAAGCATGGAAAATCTTGTAGATTTTGTCATAAGCGTACAGATGAAACATAATCATGTTTTCAGCTGAAAAGTGCCGCCCCTTCAGAATGTACATGATGGATATAAAAATATAGAAGTGTCACGAAAAGTATTATAGTATTCTTAGACGTCCCTCTAAGATGGCCAATTGTTATGTAACGCTATCTTTATTTTCATTAATTTATCTCATGACTGTTGTTCACTACCAGTATAGTATTGCTGATGCTTCCATTGTAAAACTACATCGTCGAGGCCCATACGAATCGGATCTGGGCAGTCTTCTGAACGATTTGCGAGCAAAAGCTATGTCTGGTCGAATGAGGTAGGTGAATTTACTTTAATATACTCATTGACCTTTTGAAACAGGACTGAATTATATGAGATCATTGAACATTCACAAAGCCGCTTTCTATAATCAGTTCTCTTCGAGACCACTAACATCCAAAAAACTGATAACTGACATACGAATGATAATTTATATTGACTACTCGATCTCACTGTTTTTTACTCGATTCAAAAAAGTGCAATTACTTTTTTCTCCCTTTCCTCCTCCCACTACACTTTTCATGGAAAGTGATTCAGCAAAGATCGAATCTTATGGCAAATACTCACATTCAATCTTTTTTCAAATGCCCAACCCGTTATTCTGTTGTGAATAACCATATGCATGAGAAAGACTAGGTAATCAAAAGTAGTTTTAATTAATTGGAAACGCTTTCGATTCATAAACACCTTTTGGGGACATTCAGTTACACTTACACTCGAAACTGTTGTTTGAAACCGATTGTACCAATATCATTGACGTTATCAATTCTGAGTTAGGCTATGTGCGTAAGCTTGTACGTAATTAGCTATTCATCAACTTTTAGCGAGGACTCATCAAAAGCACTAATTGCACCAATCAAGTTCAATAAAGAAAATAGCTTCGTTCATTGCTCGTTCATATGGAAGAAATATGTTCTTAACCTCAGTACCTCAGCCAACTCAACATCCATAATTCATTACAATACCACAGAACATAACGTAAAATCGGAGTGAACAGAAATTGAATTGCTCAGAAGCAATTTGCATCATAGGGTCACTTAACATATATTCATTCCATCAGACCGAAATGAAGACTGAAAAGCTTGCTTTGATGAGCAAATATCATCAGTTGATCGATTTCAAGAGAATCCAATTATTTCCCATTCCTTCGATGCGTTTCTTTTTGGAATGCTCCATGTGCCCAGAACAATACTGGCAACATCAATGAAAGAGGAAGCAGGCTTAGAGATTAACGAATGGCTCATGTTAACGAGCCAAACTGAAATTGATTTGAATTCCCAAATAATCTCCCTGCTCCCATAACACACTTCACTGAGATTAATGCTGATTCTTTTAACGAATTCATTAGGTGATAATCTAAAAAATTAAATACATCCTAAAGCCAATCATTTCTATCAACCATTTCATCATTGCTCAATCTAATTCTACTACATCTGCAATTAGATTCATCACTTCAATAATAAATAGAATTGTTTTTTGAAAAAATGAACTAAGTGAATTCAAATAATCTCGCAGTTCTTCCTCTCATTCTTTGAGATGAAAAATTGAATTCAACAATCTAGCGTTTTCCTTGCAGATAATAATAAATAATATTCATAATCATATGACACTCGTCATCATAATAATCACTTCACATTTTTGATGTTACAGATTCGGTAAGCGATCGGAACTGATCGAGAACGACTACGACGATAACTACAATCTACCTACATACCCGATCAACAACCATTATTTAGGGTCTCTTTGAATGCACCTTTTTGATTTTATTATGAACATAATGAAATAAATCTTGTTATTTTCAGTGATGAAATACTCTGTTGTGATTAATTGAGACTGGATGAACAGGATCATTTAGGTGTTTGGAATGTTGACTGCACACGCACTGACACGTCTGATGTAATCTTTGAGGTGTTCGCAAATAGAACACAAGTTTGTCAAAAATTAACCAACAAGACCTCTTGGTCAGAATAAAGTTGGTTGAGAAAGCGACAAATAATTACATAGACGATGACTGATAAAAGTTTAGGTTTCTCAGTTCGAGTTATTTCAAGTCAATTTCAAAGCTCTCTCAAAAATAAATCTGTAAAGTTTGATACACATCTGAACATATCATCACAAGTGATATGACATTTTATCACAAGCTGCAATAACTTACAATGAATATCAGTTCTTGGATATCCAGAATTTCAGTAAAACTACAGAAAAGTGTAGATACTTCGCTGAAGTGGTTAATACAGAAAGATTTTTCAAAAAATGATGAAAAAAAACCTTTTGATAAAGACTTTCGAAGAGCGGGTGTTTGTTGTTGACAACTGTGAAGTCGATCATCACACTGTTCATTTCATCTGCACATGCGAATGTTTCACTCGGATGCGTTCGTTTCCTATGTCGCTTGATTCGACTTGACTTACGACTTCCAGTGCCCTCACTCGTCTCGTCCACGTTAGCTTTCGATCGCCCTGGTTTACTTCCTAAACCTAAAAATCAAAACCCGATAGCATTCACTGTTATCTCTCCTCCCACCATGAATCATTTCCATCAAAAAATTGGTTTTCAATAAAACAGTTAGGAACCTATGAAAAAACAAAAATTACACTGAATAATCGCTACAAAAGCAATTTGGCGGACGGCTCATTATATTAATGCAAAAAAACGAGAACTCGTTATGAAACGAGCATAAAATGATAAACTGCAAAGCAACTGCTTACTAATTGTTCGAGTAAGTTCAAAATCAGTGGAGTCCTGAGTGGCATCAGTCAGAGACGGACAAGAGGATGACAGCGACTTCTGTAAATGTCATTTGCACAAATTATTTCACTATAATATATTAGTGAAGCGAATATTTTAGGTTAAATCAAATGCTCGTAGAAAATGAATAGCGGTTTATCAATATCAAGTAATTGTCTTCGATGTTTTTAATTATTGAATCTTACTCAAAAAATGTGCTATGAAGGTAATACTCCAGATGAAGCGAATAATAACACACAAAACATTCATCAAGTTCAGCTCACTACAAAATATTAACACGACTGATTCCTCTAATAATGCTTATTCATACCGAGCAAACATAACAATTTTTTGTTGAACAGTCGACGATAGGATTCAATAAAAGAGACATCATCTTAATTAATTACCATGCCATGCAGAACATTAGTTGGATCATGCATCTTCAACAGTGAATCCCCATTTGATTCGAACAAATCTTTGACCTCGAATGAACCCATTGATAAATATACCTTAATATTATCATTTGATAGCACAATATAATAACTGAACAATTACCTTATGTAACAAAATTATTCGCTGAGAACTAAATGAATCAATAAAAAACTCACTTTGGTCAAATATAACTCTGTACTTGTAATACCCAATGTTAACTGCTTAACGATACCGAATGCAAAGGGTGATTTGTTTCCCTCATTCATCAAACTATTTCGTTTTCGCATCTCAATATGAACCTAAACGCACATCATTATCGCATCATCGAATAATTCATCGCTTTAAGCAATCTCTCTTGTTACAATTAGGTGGCGAACGATGGATCAACCTTTGAATTACACAAAAATGAATAAGTTCAAAGAATCACCTCGGGAACACGAATCTTGACGAAAATACGTGGAATGACTACCACTTCGGGCACATTAAACTCACCGTTCTTCTAAATGAATGCAACCATCAATTAAGCACAAAAAGTGATCAGCTTGAAAGATCAGTACTGACCACAATTAAAACAAACAGTTTCTTTAACGAAACACACTAACTTGGTCAAAAATTACAGTATCCGTATTGAAGAAATTTGACAGACCATCAAATGCACCCGCCTCATACATTAACGATAAAGCACTGAAGTTCGCCTCAAGAGTGTGTTTAACGACCAATTTAGGTGCGTGACGTCTATATCGCATCCTTAAATGAAGCAATCCATCAATAACTTGAATCACAAATTCTGAATGAAAGAGAGAATTACTGGAAAAGTGGTTTTCGAATGATGTTGTTGCTTGTGTCACTTTCTGACGCAGCATTCGCCGTCGATCCATCGTTACTTGCCTTCGTCTTTCCAATAGCAAAAAGGATCTGAGTATTGTCCTTGAACGCACCACCACCGAAACCAAACATCAACGATTCATATTCGGTTTCAGTCGATGGTTCTGCAAGCATATCAATAGCAGTAACTGTTGCATGCACACCGAGAGAACATGCGCAGCACAATGACTCACCTGAAGGCACATCAACAAACTGCTCAGAATCTGAAGCGGTATAGAGCCTCTGAACACTGAGATCGCCGACTGATAAAGATATGGCCGTACTGTGTTGACGAGGGCTCAGATGCATCTTGCTGACCACTTGACGAAGATCCAGTGATAGCACTTTGGTGCCTCCATCCACACACGACTAAATTCACCATTACTGCTATTATTCATCACACGGTTATAAAATGTTTCAAGACGAGAATGTTAAACCTTCACAACTTCAATATGCACGCAAAACGCATCTGCTAATTCGTGAAGCAATCAAACTCGAATGAAAACTGATGAATCCTTGCAATAATCATTCGAAAACATGAAATCTACCATCACACCGTTGCAGTTCTTGCATTTCGGCAGCAATAACAAAATATGACTGAAACAACGCAACCTACTCACACCATCATCAACATTTTCAACAAATCGAACAGTCATATTTTCAAGTTGCAGAGATGTAGCTGCTAAGAGCACATCTCGACGCAATACTGTTGAATCATCCCAACTTTCGCTAAGAACATCCATTATTTCGTCTTCTAACTGAAATTAACTTACATATGGCAACATGAAAATTAGATGCTGCTGGACATTAAAAGTGGTTTAAAGCGATTTTACATGAGTAGAATATTTTATGATAACACTTGGAACACTGATTATTCCACTTATTACTTCTCATTCTTCGATAATGCTTACCTGTTTTTCAACCTGTTTCAAACGAGTTCCCAAAACGCTGTCAGATGAACCAGAGTCGGTGGCATCAGCTTTCGTTGAATCATTGTCACCGCTTCTTTGAATAACTGAAACTGCACCCAATATTTGTTTTACGAAAACGATTCCGCTTATTTGAAATGATCGATTCATTTTCTTCTGCTCTTGCTCGAAGATCAAATAAACAATTATCGAATGCAAAAACCTTGTGGTTGTGAAGCAGAGAACCAACTGCTGAGCCATCCATACGAACCTTCAGACTGCTGTTCTTCAACTGAATTTTGCCTCAATTCTTCAGAATTCTTTGCTTTGGCAGTCCGCAAATCGTCCTCTGACGTATTTAGCTGCATCACTAAAACATTGCGGCATTTACAAAATTAATCTAGGTTACTGAGTCTCGAAATGGAACTCGACGAGAATACATCACAAAATTAAAAAAATGAAAATAAATACATGATTCAACATTGTCGAGTGTTTCATCATCAGACTGTATTCCACTTTCGTTTGTTGTGGCAGTTCTCTCGGTTTCACGTTCATCCCAAATACGTCGAAACACAGTTTCACGGAACAACTGCAACTCCTGAAATCGAGCATTTCTCTATCACGCTGCTCACTGGTGCAAGAATATGATAACTAACATGATAGGTATAATCAGCATCTCGTTCGATTTGTTTCATGAGAATAACATCTTCGGAAGTTGGTGATAGCAACGAAGCAGTTGTTTGCTGAGAAGAGGACAGTGATGAAGTAGAGACGTGTTCAGAACTTGACTTTGACATTGCGGTGGTTGGCGTTGTGGCTGATGGAGAACGACTGGCTCTCACAGCCTTGGATTTCGCTGTTTCAACATGCGCTAGTAACTTTCTTCTGTAGGCACGACAATAAGCATTCAGATGTCGAGCACGCATCAAAGCGAAGTTCCACGTATGTCTTGTTTTCTGTTGCTCGGTCTCATCTCGAACCCGATTATAAGCGAAACGCCACCATTCGCCCGCATTCCCCCCAACACTCACCAACGGTCTCCACTTCCTGTGCTGTCTGGCACGATCGTACCTGGCCCATTCACGACTCAACAAACGTATCTCAGCCATTTGCCGTTTCGACAATTCGATTGCTACTTGCTCACTTTGAATATCAAACTTAAATCTGGGTACAGCTGGATGTTGCCATTTTAATGGAAATTTACTCGTATTCTTCTCCATACACATCGACGCACAAAACGGTTGTAATATATAGGTGGTGTCCGCGTTCACTTCTGGAGCCATCAATAACTTGAAAGTAATAATGCATACGTCAGTAATAGAAACTATCGTTGACATAATAATACAATGAAGAGACGTTTGGTTCAAACTCGATCCATACTAACATGCTCTGTACATTCCTCCGATACGCAACAAAAAAAATCAGCTAACCAGCAAATCTTCATGTGAAATATTCTCAGGCGATAATTTCTGGCCAGGATTCCAATATACCGAAAGGCCAACAATTTCAAGCTTTTTGAAAACATTTGTGCCCTCTTGTGGTTGCATATAAACCGACTTCTATAAATTAATTTGAACATCAACCAATGAGAAACTTATTTATAGGCTCAATGGCACTTATGTCCAAATAGAATATTACAATAATGGTTCTCATATAGGGAAATTCCTGCCTGCGGCGGAAATAGGACCAAATGTCAACAAATAGATGATTCTTAGCTAAGAAGTAAAAAGGGACTGCGATTAGGTGGATTGTACAAGGAGGGATGGCATACGACCAACGAACGCAAGAGGATGAGAACAGAGCACAGGAAATTATTCAATGATAAGCGCTGGCACATAAGTTGCCGCTCGTCTTTCGAATGAATTTCTCATGCAGTTTCAATTAAAATCACACAAAATCAATGAATATACCCAATTCGAGTCTGTTGTCTGAACGCTGACTTTGTGTATACGGAGTCCGCAGCATAACGGTGTATCACCAAATGTGGTTCCATCTTCATACCGAATGTGCACATTGGTCATAATCAACTGGAAGCGCTTACTTTCAATTTAGTCTTTTTCAGTCTTTTCCAGATACAATGGAAAATACTATTGAATATAGAAAAAATGAGTAGAATGAATGATAACAATAAGAAACGATGAACTTGAATGTTGTTGACGACTGCAGAAACCAATGAAGCGCCCCACCAACTTTGTTGAGCCCTATCGTCATCTGTTGACAAACCAGCGTTCAAAAGTAACTGCTTCTGAACAATATTCACATATGTATAAAGAGAAAACAATCTTGGATTAATGGATGATTGAGTTTGCAAAGTTCAGTGCCTTAAAATCTGCTGGAATCAAAAGGATCGTTACAGAAAAGCATAATTTTTAATTGAATATTGAACAGAATAAGTCGAATTACAGAACAAAATCTCTTCACTTCGCAATATAAAACGAATTAAAAAACAGCAAACTGACTTTGTGAAATTTCTCCAAATCTTCCAATTGTTGCTCTCTTTTGGACTGCTCGTACACTTCAACTAATTCAACATCGTACTTTGCATTTTTTATTGGCCCAACCAGTACTAATAAATCGCTCATTTTTATAACCCAAGGCTCACTTCTAATATGCGCTAAAGGCACCGATAATGTCAGTTTGCCTAAAACGCCAGCTTTGACCTAAAATTCAGCTTGGTAACTTGAACATTCTAAAAAGTTCTCCATCCAACTTAATTTAACATTAACAACTAGTGAACACTTTCTCTTTATACTGGAAGCGAGACTCTGATTTCATTTTCGAATATGCTATATTCAATTATTTACAATGTTCTCACTTCGAACTCAGTCATGCCTCTTGGCAATGCATCAAAGCAACTTCAGATAAGCGAAATCAGAACACCAAAAGGAATCGGAAATCTCGTGCGATCTTAATTGCTATCCCGTTTTTCGACAACAGTTAACGAATGATAAACTCACCTGAAGCGGAACATCAAGTTTTCGAAGTGCTGTTTTTTTTAGCGGAATATTTTCCAATTCAACCTGCCCTTGAATATCACAATTTTATTTCCAGAACACAAACCAAGTAATTTTCAATAGATAATGTAAAAATGATTTACCATGAAATACTAAACTTGATTTCAGAATTCAACTTAACTTAAGGATTTAAGAACTACTTGCTTTATTTGTTAAAGAACTACTCCATTTGCAAGCCTCTTCCCTTTATCTTTTTGATAAGATTATACGGCACAATCGATTAAGACAATTAACAATTGTTGCTTACATATCATATTGAATTGAAATTATTTTCATGGTTCGGTTCTGCACGAGATAGTACAAAATAGCTTGCCAGTAGACTTCCCCAACAGATTCTTCATGGTTAAGGCAAGCAATTTTTGATGGTGATTTCTATGGATGGGATAAATGAATGAAAGAGAACTGAACTTAAATAAGATAGACTACAGAAATGAATGAACACACCTTGAAGAAGAGCGATACTCAGCTGAACGGTATTCAGATTTTCGAGATATTCCCCAACATAATTGTTCAACACCCATGCCACCAAATGCTCTAACATATTGTCCACAACTTAGAAATAATTCTCTTAACAGTATGTTCTATAATTCATAGAAACTTTTGAAATCATTAATCGCTCGTTTACAGAATATATTCATGGACAATTCAATTTTGCACGGTCAACGATCGACAGAATGCGTATTGGGGTTACGTTTATTGCATGGCATTACTACTGGGCTGTACTCAAATACCGATGGCAACAAGTATTCATTGTTGTTTGGCTGTGCAATGGCTAATATACTGATCGCCATTCGGTTGCATTAGTTCAAATCATTATTTATTACTCATTCAGAAGACAACTGCTTAATGGTTATCAGTTGTTCTCACTGATCATTGAACGTATATTGTTTCCATATTTTTGCGGGCTTGTTTCGAGCCTCTCTCCTAAAAAATTATTTAGTTTTATGGAAGAGTAGCCCTACACCTCTATGCTCGTCAAATCAATGATAGATATTAGAAATTTCGCTACAATTGTGCGTCATGTGCGCTTAGGGTCTACCGCGATCAGATGGCTACTCGTCAAAGTGCGCATGCAACTACCTTACTCACCCTTCTATGATCCAGTTCAGTGAGACTGTTTCGTTTCGTATATTTCGTATGTTTCGACCCTTCCAGATTGTTTCAACAATATTCTCCTTCTGCATGGCTGGTTCTCCGCTTGATGTCGAGCAAAAGAGATTGTCATCACATTTGATGTGTCTTCCATTTGACCATCTGTTATCTCACATTCACACTGTTCACGTTCTCGAAGCTCATCTCATGCTTATTTCAATAATTGCTCTTTACACCATATGCACCCAGAACTCATGCTATTTTTGTTCGACGCCGACAACATAAATTGGCACTTTCTGGAAGACACAATCAACATTTCAGCCAGCGTGACAGCTGAACATGTGTGAAAAGAACAGCTTGTCTATCTTTCCCTCTTCCATTAATTTGTATTTCCTTTGCATCAAATGAAACAAACAGCAAATTCAAGCAAAAGCCCTTATGACGGAAATTAATACGCACCGCAACTGCTATAATAGTGACCAATATAGTTCTAAATTCAAATTTATGGGAATAATCCTATCAACGTTGATGCAGAGTTTTTCAGTTCTTCTGCTCGAATATCGTCAGGAAATGCTTGTGAATGTTGAGATTCAGACGAAGATTCAATTCTCTTCGATGTTCAACACGAATCTCAACATTCAGAAGCATTTCCTGACGATATTCGAGCAGAAGAACTAAAAAACTCTGCATCAACGTTGATAGGATTATTCCCATAAATTTGAATTCAGAAATATATTGATTCGTTTCAGGTGTTCACTTGGCTTACTATTAGACTTATTCAGTGAGCAGTAGTTGCTCTTTTATTCATAAATGTTTTTGTTCTGTTGCAAACTATTTTGCTTCTTCACATTAATTCCCTGCAGTGTAATTGATCAGCAACTATCGAAATCACAGCGGAGAGTCAAAAAATACGTTGACGAGGTTACAAAGAACTTTGCGGTACATAAAACCCTCCTATAAACCACATTTCCAGTGCGATCTTTCATACGAATTACCATCATAAGGACTTTTTTGCACCGGACCGGCGTTTCCACAATACACTTACAAGTATTTCTACTTTGAGCCGGCGCCGGTAATTCCAATACTGTCTTCAGTAAGCGATTTCTGCAGATGAATCTATGTAGTGACTAGATCAGGACATCGTCTACATAACCATGAAACAATCATCAGAACCGAACGTATTAATTAAAATGCAACAGTATTCCATCAAAATCAAATAACATAAAAATAGGAAGTTGCAAAATGAATGAAATGCAGTGAACATTAATTGATCACATATGACACAATACCAGAATTGCTGCTTAATGAATTAAGTGATCAAACGTTCAATTCGGAAACAAAATCAGACGTGGCATCCCCGAAAACCTGGTGCTGTCGGATAATGTAAGCGTGTATCAAGTGTGTACAATATCGCCTGTTCGCAAGATTGCTTTCATTCATAGGTGGTTATGAATGGAGAAGAGTTGAGTTGTCCTGGAGAAGGTTGACTCAGGAAGGGGAACTGGGCATTCCTTAGAAGAAAAAAAAGAGTTAACGGGAAGAAAGGAGCTCCACATGAAAAAGAGTGAAAGAGAAGTAGAGTTTTTTTTGAGAGGGTATGATGATCCCATGGAAGGGGCT